CAGTGTTGCTGCTAGTTTCACTGAAGGAGGAAACATGATCTGAGTGGGCTGATATATTGTTAAACAGAAACTTCTCTCTGACTATAAATGCATTTATCTAGATTTGAAAAGCCCTGCTCCCGTCTGTTATTGTGTCACATTAAGAATGTTCATGATGCAAAGTGGATATATTATACTTCTAAGCTTGATGTGTCGGTTAAGATTCCATGAACACTACCTGCCTGTGACCCACCATCAGTCATTCATCCTTAGAGGAGGTTGATCGTGGTGTTAGAAAAATATGCTCATGTTACCAAGCATATTCTGTAACCTGTTTTACTAAAGTTTTTATCCATAGGGAATTACAGATGTGTAGTTTGTGTATGTAAAATAAATGTGTGTCTTTACGCTGCAGTTTAATTATATCTAAAAATATTTTTACAATTTACATCAGAACTTTTGTCTCTGTAGGTCGGTCATTGTTCCCTCTTCAACACAGAAAATTCAGTAGCTTTTCTTGTCATTATGGAATTGTTCAATCATATTTTGTTATCAGACTTTTGGTTAGTTTAAAGCACTTCCTGGTTGACATGCAGACTGATTAAAGGAGGTGTGTCTTTAATGTCAGGAGGAGATCACCAGGAGCAAAAATCCATGTCTGTAGACATAAGAAGCAGAAAGGCATCTTGAAGAAACTAAGACTATACTTTCAGGGATCATTTCTTTAGTTTCTGACTTGAGGAATGTGCTCTTAAACAGTGTGGTCTCGCTCCCCACGATGATGAGGAAAGATGTTTCCTTCCGAGCAGGAAGCTGGTGAGAAGATCCAGAGTCTTCTTCACTGTTGGTGACTGTTCAGTGTTGCTGTTTGTTTCACTGAAGGAGGAAACATGATCTGAGTGGTGTTTTCAAGTTGTTAATAGAAAAGAAGAACTGTTGTTTCAGTGGGGTTGTTCTATGTTTACAACAAAACATTTTCTGTCAGTGGATGGTTCTTGAAGATCCATGAATCCTTTTTCCTTGTGACCCACTGTCATTAATTTATCTGTAATGGTGCTTAGTAATGGTGTGACAAATATATGCTCATACTGTTAAGCTGCTTCCTAAAGTTTTTAACTATAGTATTTATTTATAGACATTCATGCATGTGCAGTTTGTTCATATAAGATCAAACCGTGTTTGCACTCCAATTTATTTGTATTAAAAATATTATTACAATTTACATCAGACCTTTTTTCTGTCCATCGGTCATTGCTCCTTCTTCAAAACAAAAAATGCAGGAACCGTTTTTGACATTAAGATATTGGTAAAATCATATTTTTTTACTCAGAATTGTGCCTAATTTAAAGCACTTTTTGGTGAAAACCCAGACTGATTAGTGGAGGTGTGTCTTCATGTTGTGGAGGAGATCACCAGGAGCAAAAATCAATGTCTGTAGATATAAGATGCAAAAAGACAGCTTGAACGAACTAAGACTGTACTTTCAGGGATCATTTCTTTAGTTTCTGACTTGAGGAATGTGCTTCTAAAGAGTGTGGTCTCGCTCCCCACGATGATGAAGAAAGATGTTTCCTTCAGAGCAGAAAGCTAGTGAGAAGATCCAGAGTCTTCTTCACTGTTGGTGACTGTTAAGTGTTGCTGCTAGTTTCACTGGAAGAGGAAACATGATCTGAGTGGTCTGATCCAATTGTAAATAAAAGAAGCAGTTTTTAATGAAGGGTCTTTATCTAGTTCTTTATAGAAAAAATGTCAGCCTATTTGAAGGTATTTTTTTTAAGTACAAAAAACAAAGCTTATTTTGGTATTCTTTTCCTCTTTCAATGTAATCAATGCTTAAAGTGGACATATGAGTAGATAGAACCACACATAAACCGTTCTGCCTGTTCTTCTCTAACTCATTCAAGCGAAGTTCAGCTTTCTTAACCTTTCATTTATAGTGAGGACTTAATCGAAAACTAAGCAAATACTTCACAGTCACACACATTGTTCTTATCAGATCAGCCTTCCTTTCAGTCACCCATGAGCACTTGATTTTTCCCCCCCAAAATGATGTGTTTTATCAAGTGTGTTCAGAATATATTGACTGTCTCTCTAACTGTCTACACATCCCCCTATTCAAAATGAATACATTTTCTTTAACACATTACATTACGCAGTGTTCTACTTTTATACACTTTTGTTTTTTGTGCAGTCTCTCAGGCCCTCTGATACTTAAGGGACATGAAGTTGACATGATGCAGATTTCTTATGTAAACTTGAAAAGTTAGAGCCGATGAGGAGCATTCCCCCCCTCATCAAACATTTTCCCGTTCGGTTGTTTACAGTATGTAATAGTTGTGGTGGTTGAAATGGGCACTTGGTTCTATTAATTTACAAGGTTTCATTCAAACAGAGCTTTATTGGAAATTTGACTGTAGCTATAGACTTTTTTTCACATGAGATACCACTAAATTTACATATGAAACTGAAATGATTATGATAAGGGATTTTCATTACTTTGTTTTTTCTTAAGTGTGAGTTTCGAGACTGTCATAGCGGGGTCTGGATTTGTGTGCATTCCCCTTTCAGCTTTGGTTTTGTTTAGAGATCTGTAGTGTAAGCCTTGTTCTGACAACAACGTTTTTACTTTTCAATACATCTGCTGGCTGACCCTAACAGAGGAAATCTTCTGCTGGCTTACCCTAACAGACAAAATGTTATGCTCACTGACACTGACAGATACCATCTTCCAAACCAATTTTTTATTCATGACAAAATGAGTCAGGTTATACCTGAAAATAATGTAAGGATATTTTTTGTGCCATTTGTCCTCTATCATCACTGCCCCCTTCCTTCCTAAGCATCTAAGGCTTTCACAATGAAAAAATTGAGATCGAGTACCAGCAAACACATGTAAATACACACAAAAAATAAAAGACGGATAATAAAATACACTATAGACTCCATTATAGATCCATTATGTAAGACAGACAGTATACAGTAACACCATTATGTGGAAAACACAAAATAGGGGGAGTCTACCACCCCAATAAAATTGCCTACCTATCCCAAAAATCTCTGAAGTGAAACAAACACTGTTTGATTGAAACCAACTGAGTCTGTGAGTAGTGTAGGTTTTGTAGATGTTTTGTGTGTTGTTGTTGTGTCTGTGTGCAAAAACACAACTTAGTAATTGAGTGTATGAACCTAGGCCAACAGTCAATCACAAAAACATTTTACAGATTTAATTATGTGTTTTTTTTCTCAACAGTAACAGATTACAGTATATTATATGTTAATCTATTTCATGCCAGGGATTATACATGCTGTACAAAAACAAACGGCACTACAAAAAATCCTGAATGATCCTATGAAACATAGGATCATTTTAAATAAAGGGCTTTGGTATTTTACTGTAGGTCTTCACTTGTGTTAGGTTCAGTTTGTGTTCTACATGCCACCTACATGGTCACGTACCCAGTAATTTATTTTATCTAAATGTTACAGCTGAAATAATTTGTTGTCTCATTATTTATTCAGGAAATCTACCTAACAGTTACATAGCTGCAGACCGTTATACCAACAATTAAATATACTTCCCATTTTAAAAAACAACTTGCAAGGCTGAAAGATCAGGAAAGGACAAAAGAAATGAAGGTGCCACCTATCAATGCAAAAAATCAAATGTAAAAAAAAATGTAAAAAGATTGTTATTGGCCTGACGGATCTCATTCATTAGGTCTTATTCCAAAGTGTTGTTCAGCAGAAGAAAAAATCCATTTGTGGCTCTGAAATAATCCACATTTGGTGCTGTAGTGTTTTTTTTCTGGGGTTTAATTATGAGGTTTTGCTTATATAATCTCCATGTGCTAGTGGCATCTCCTTAGCGCTTTCCGGGGGGGGGGGGTGACTTGTGTCAGCCTGGTTAGATTACATAAACAAATGAATAATGATTGACCTTTCAAAATCACCTGAGAGAAAATGGGGTATTTCCTGTAAGTCTGAATGCTGAGCCTGCACCGTGCTTTTCGTGTATTTCCTCAACTGTCTGACGCTCGTACGCAGAGGCAGGGAAAAGGCAGGTTGGAGAGGCAGTTTGTGTTGGCATTGACCTCCATGTCCCTGAATAAAAGCTGGCTTCCCAGACTCTGCGGGGTGTCTTTTTTCAGGGCCGTGAGTTGCTGGAGAATTAGCTGATACTCGCGGTCTTTTGGAAGGCCCCTGAAGTAAAGAACGGCAACCAGGTGCTTCTTGCTGCAGAGGGGGAAGAGAAACATACATATTTATTTTTTTCTGTCCATAGAAAACTTGCACCCTAGGTGTTGAAGAACCGAAAGTTTATATGATTCATTCCTGACAAGATTGCAGTCAGTTCTTGTTTTGGGTAAATCAAAGGCTTTTATTTTGTTTGTCTTTAAATTCACCTTTAATTTACTTCCTTGTTTACCCATTCTCTATCTCAGAGAAACTATTTCATTTGTGTTTCCACAACCACAAAAGGGAAGCTCTGACAAGTTTGCTGTGTTGTCATTTTGGATTTTTTGTGTATGTGTGTGTATTCGTGTGTTGTGTGTTTTTTTTTTTTGTTCTTGTTTTTTTTTTACAACTGCTGATTTTCAAGAAATTGTATCAAAGCCCTGAATGTTTCACTCACACCTCACAGGTTTATTAGAAGCTGATGAAAAAAGGAGGAAGAAAAAATCATTCATTTTCAAAACCCTATGACCTTGGTCACTTAGCTACTGAACACACACACACAAACACACACACACACACACAAACCCCCTATCACACTAACTGTCATCAGTTTTTGTCTCTCACTCTCACACCATGCATTTTAATAAAGAATGCAAGCCTGTGTCCAATCATTTTCACTCTCCACACGCTCCAACTCAGCTTTGATTCTGAAATCTCTTTGATTCTTGAGTTTTTAAGTTTAAAAATGTTTTTTTTTAGAGTGTGAATTGCACTAACATACATTTCCATTCAGCAGGATCTCGATGAGTGCAGAATCGCCCGTTAGTTTAAGGTTAGGATGGCTGAAATATCTTAATTATCTTATTTCTGAGCGGCCTGTTGTACATTTTGAATCTGTGCTAACAGCGCATTGGTACTTGTTTCTGTTTTCCAACAGACAGTTGTTTCACATCTTGATAGTTACTATCCTGATAGCACTGAAGGTTAGCCTGATTTGTGTTAGCTCACTATTAACTGGATATCCATCACACTGCATTAATCTGTGCATATCTTGTATTTTCTGAAAGAAGGTACATATGATGACAGATTTCTCAATTTGCACAACAACAACTCACCTAAGATGGACTGTTGGCGACGCAGTACATATATATTCCAGAAAAAAGGACCAAAAAATAAACATAAACTTCATAGACCATGCTGAACCATGCTTATGTTAAAACTTTACATTTCAAATCTCAAACCTTGCAGGAAAATTGATAAATGAATAAATTAATTGTTTGTCTAAGGTTTTTATTGGACAGTTGCTAACTGTAAAGCTACCCACCACAACACATGGTTTACACATGTAAACAAATCAGTATGTGCAAAGGAATGGAATGAAATTAATTTCTCTCATAATCATAGGAAAAAATTACACTGATGTATTTTACACACATCATGCTGGTTTAAGCATTGTTGCTCAACAGAGGAACAACTTTTGTTCGGGGATTTTATCTTTCAACAGTCCCCATATTGCTGAAGATGGAGGATTTGTAACATTTTAGAAACATTTCAATATTGTTTTCCTTAGAAAAAGAAACTTTTTAGTTGTCTCTGGATGAAATAGAACAACTTGGAATAAAAACAATCTTATTGTGATTGTGATTGTGTGATTATAATTAACTGGATTTAACTTGTGTTGGGATTTAGTGCTTGGAAATAAAAGTGACTTGAACCATTTAATAAAATAAATGCTTACCTAAAGTCTGGATAGTGCTGCACTAGAGGCTGCAGGTTTTTCTTGATGTCTGCAGCCGTTTTTTCTCCAATAATGCTGCACAGCTCATGTCCCACAGAGTTGAGCCACTCGTGAGTCGACTTCTACACAAGATAAATATCGAATTGCAGGAGAGAGAAGGTGAAATGGTTTAGTTTGAAAATGTGATATCTTTATATGCGCAAAGATCAAGTGTACCTCCATAACCAGTCAAACTGAGTCACTGCTAGGACAAATTAACAACCCATCAATAACAAACAGCAATAGTTGACCAACTACATATGGAACAATGTTTAGACGTTGAATCTAATGGTATAGGGTTGTTCTTTGGTTTCAGACATTAACATGACAAAATATCATAAACCATTTGAGAAACAATCTCTTTCAATATAACTATAGAGACAGTGTGATTAAACTCCCTTAAAATTATTTATAATTTCACTACATGTCCTCCATTATTAGACTGGTGTTCAGTCTTGTGTGTCATAACAGCTAATAAATGTAGCTATAAATCACTGGTTCACAACCACATGAAGAAGATTCAAGTAGAAGTTTGTTACCATGTCTTCAAACAGATCTGTAAGTTTTTCCCATTGCTGGTTGATCTTGGTCGCTGCCTTTTCATGTTTCCGGTTCTTGCATGTGTAGTTATTTTTCATCAGCTGGCCGATATATTCCCTTACCACATGATAATGCAGCCGGCTCACAAATTCCTGACACCCAGAAACATGGGAAAGTAAATTCAATGTGGGATATTGCACAATACCATCCGAGCACTTGTTAGACAAATATCTGATTTGTACACACTTGTAGAAAGATTTTGGACCTCTAGAGTCAATCTTTTACCTTTTTTCTCACAAACTTGATCTGAATGTAGTTACACAGAAAAAATACTCATTCGTGATCAAATCAAAATGCGAGTGGACAGGTAATTATTCAGCATTTACTAAAAAAAATCTTTATTTTTGATTGCACTGACTTTCTGTTACATCCTCAACTCAGCATTTACACTTTCTCAGATCTGCATGTGCGCAAATCTTCCCAGTGAAAATTGTGAGAGCAGATTTGAATGAGATTTCCAGACACTCTTGCTTCTTTAGGTTTGAAAACCTCGCCCGAATCAATCAATAATGCCATTTGTAGGTTGTATTGAAGTTGTAACAATAAATGAATGCAAACAAAAACAGTAGATTTATACTGATCACACACACAGCTTGTTTCTTGTGACACTTATTTACCTTTACGGAAACACAGAAATTGCAAGTTCCCAAGATGAATATGAAAAGAAGAAAAGCATAGGAGCACGAGTGTATTTGCCTCACATGACCAACGGCCAAATCACGAGAATTAACACTTTTACTTCCACTTTTTCATTTGTATAAGCTCTGGCAAGGTTTACTGCTGTAAAAGCATTATAGTAAGAACACTAGCACTCAAATAACATTTCCAGGAATTTTATACAGGGTCTATAAATAGCTAGATAGGATTTCTTTTTGTCAAAGAGCTGAATAACCCTACTTTGGTTAACATCTACCTTTCAGATTAAACAAAAAGATTAGCTAATGGCACTTTTAACTATAAAGAGCTATTTTAGCCCAACTTTAACCTAAATAAGCTAAGAAAATATTATAAGAAAATAGTGCCTTAGAGCTGATTGATACACTGATTAAAAGTGTCAACTAGGATGGTTAACATTGAAAAAAGAACATGGTAGACAAAAGTTAGAAGAAAAATAATCTCTTCATACACATTACACAGGTTAGAACTTTGACCTCCAAGTTTGAGTTCAACTTACAAGTTTTCCATCCAGGCACCATATGCATGAATATTCATTGGACCTCACATATTCAACAAATTCCCTAGATTTTAGGTTCACGTTGTGGATGGCTCTACATTAAGAATGCCCTCTGAATTTTGATGAAATCTACCACCCAAATGAAACTTCACAAATAGAATGTTAATTCAGCTGATGATTCCTCATTTTATGGAGTTTCTCTTGTCATTATTAGTCAATGCCAGGAAATGGTTTATTTTTTAATTAAATGGGTCTTGGCTCAAGCTGGCATCCTGTCTGTAATGTTTTCCCTGAACACGCCTTCCTTTTCCTCCTCACCTGCACATTTGGAGGCTTCATGAGCTTACAGTGCTTGGAAAGAATGTTTATATGGTTGTAGAGGTGATTAAAGTCATCTTCGCTGGTTAGCCACTTTCTTGTCATCATTCTCCTCAAATATGGCTGGAAAAAGAAAACAGTTTGTTTAGATTACAGTTCGACAGTACCACATTTCAACACACGTAGTTGATGTAAATTATTCTTTCACAACAGTGCATTGTCATGAGAAAAGAGAGCCAGGCAGTGATGGGATTTTGTTGAGTTCTTCCCTTGAACCATGACTTTAAAAAGTGCATTTAATGTTTGTCGCTCCGCAAATTAAAATTAGAAACACACTACGCAAATAGATAACAGTCATCCAGGTAGGAGAGAAGCCTTCATTGTTGATGATTGATAGTTTTGATCTGAGTCAAGTTTGTCTCATTCAGCAATAAGTTTATTTAACCATATTTTTTATATCTGAATGTACAGTACTATACAAAGTGATCTCATATTATAATGCCAGGATAATAAGAAATACTTCCTAAATACAGTATATATGAGAGCATTTCTTTTTGTAAAATTCTAACAAGCCCTCTTAAATAAAGTTGCTTGTCATTCCCTTAAGCTCTCTACCTAAATACCTGAACATAATAAAGCCCTCTAAGATCAGGTTTCTAATAGGTTTTAAATAGTTATCTTCAGGTATACGCAGGTATCTGGGCTTCCTGAAGGACATTCCGAAACTGTTCTTTTTGGATGTAGGGCTCCTTTTGATTCAATCTCTGTCAGGACGATCCCAAACTGTCTCAATAATGTTGAGCTCTGGTCTCTGGAAAGGGTTTTTCTATCCACAAGACCAATTACCACTGAGCTGTAGAATGGCTTATTGTCAGACACCTTTTGATGATCAACATTTTCTGATGAGGCCTCATTGAACAGTAGATGAATCAACTCAAGGACCAGATACACCTGTTCTGTGTCAGGTCCGGTGGATTTTACCCTCTTTTGGATAAGCCAAAAGGCGAAAACACCATCCCTATTCAGATGGGAAATTCAGATTTCTTATTAGGTAGCTGTTTAGGTCTACCGTTTCTTATCCTCTGCTTCTTTTGTCTAGTTTCCTCGAATGTTTTAAAGATGCACTGCACACCTTGCTGTCATCTGCCAGCTTTTCAGCTTCTACCTCTTTTGTAATCATGTTGTTGGCGAATTAAAGAATACTTGTATGTCTGTTAAGCTGTGACGTATTAGGCCATTTTTTTAATGTGTTTTTGTGTCTTCCTGCAAAAGACCACGTGGACTGCAAGAAAGTCCTGGAAGAACTTGAAAAATAGATATCATTAAATATGGGGTCACGCAAGGCTTTTGCCCAGTATTGCCACCTCAGATTTCTCATTGCAGAAACATAGGCAATATTGTAGAATTACTTGAGGATAGGTTCGCTTTTTCAGTTCCTCTTTTAAATAAACGGCAGCGGAAATCATTGCACATGCTGGATTGCCAAACCTTAACATTCTCTTTGAACTGGTCCTCCAGGCCTTGTAGGAGTCTTTTAATCAGCAAATCCACCTCTTTTGTGAACTCTTCCACCTCACCGGGGCAGCTATCTTGATATCCTTTCATGTGCTCCCTGCAAGAGAAAGACAGAAAAAAGACCACAATTAAAGCAAATTGAATTAAAAAAATGTCAGTCAAGAATGTATTCTTTGAAAAACATTCTATTTGGTTTTCCCTTCCACATACAGGACGATTAGTGACCCCTTGCTCAATATATGATAAATGATAATTGCTTAGTCAGAGCATACTGGTAACTTAGAACTAACCTGTTCTAACACGCAATGTCTCTGTGTCTTGTTTATGCAACAGAGCTTAACCTTAATGCAGGGCAAATAGCTCTACTTGTCATTTCTTTTGATAATCTTTCAGACTGAAATGAAAATTGGTGTCTACAGTGGCTGAGTTTTTTTAATTAATTGGTTTTCAAAAACTTCGCTTCCTCCCACTGTCCAAAAACATGCATGGGAGGTTAATTGAAGCATGTTTTTTTCCTAAAAATCCAAGATAGTCATTTTATGTAACATTTTAGAAAATTAAAATGCCAGGATTAATGACTATAAAGTAATACACATATATAAAACAGTCTTATCTACTTTGGAAACCTTCTACTCTTTGCACTGACACTGTATTGTCCTGACAAAAATGATTAATAGTGTATTTAAAATGGAAACTACTTGCACGAGTGGATAACAATGGAGCTAAGAGAGAAAGTCATTTCGACTGGAATGTGGAGTAACTCAAACAAAGCTGAGAGTTCATTTCCAGAGATGACTGATGGAATTATTTGCAGTATATGAAAATCAGCTGCAAAAACTAAAAGACAAAGCAAGTTTTCTCAGATTATTCAATGTGATTATTACGTATTTCTAATACAGAACAGAATACCAAACTAATTCATTTATAGGATTGCGAAATTAAAACTGAAAACTGCCTGACTGAGCCAGAAAGAGTAGAGGGGGAGTCAACACAGGACCTTTTCTGCAGTAAGTCTTATAACTACATCAATGCTCCAGATGTTTGATGCAACCACATACATTTCACTGATAGACAAAAGAGTCAATTTAACTTAAAATGGGTCACTGTTACCTGCAAAATTTAGAAAATGGAATGCAAAAAAACAAAAAACAAATTAAAGAAACTTATATGTAGATTAATTTGTTGTTAGTTTGTTAAATCTGGGTGTTGACCCATATTTTCTTATTCATGTCCACTGATGAAAAATATATTTTTTCATCCTCCTTGCACAACCTTCAAGTTTAAGCAAGGTGCTTTGAGAAAAACTGAAAGCAGACATGCTTTCAGAAACATAAACACTTGAAGCTGCTGCAGATAAATCCCCTTTCAAGTGCTTTTCTTCGCGTCAACGAAAAACCACGCTTTCAACCACATCTGTTCCTAAATGAGACTGACATTTAGGAGGTAAAGCCGGCAGAGTGTACACTCTGAGTGCACCCTCTTTTCCTCCCACTTAAAAGTTCGCATTGCTTCTCACTTGCAAACCCGATTACTTGAAATCACATGTGATGACACTCTTTCCAAAGCCTTCTTTATTTCATCAGAATGAAACTTGCTCAGTTGAGAAATCATCTTTGAAAAAAAATCTTAACCTGTCAAAGTTATTTCTTCTCCATTTGAATCGGTTTAATCTGAGGGAAAAGTCTAAGCATAAAGCGTTTCCTAAGTGAGCAGGAATGTCCCGGCAAAAACATGACTCAGAGATGATTTATCCAACAGAGGCTGGAAAAAGTCTGTGCCTTTAACCATTTGTTGTCTGCCTTTTGTTTTCAACCAATGGTCAAAAAGCAGAGATTTATGCTCTAAAACAACTAAACAAAATTCTGCAAGTATACTTATTTAACTGTTTAATTTAGAACTATTTGGGATGATTATAAATCAATCCCAACAAGCAAGACAGCATATTTACACCAACACTCTTGTTCATTGCACAATACTTTATGCTGTGTGAGCCTGAAATCCCTTAATGTTTTTTTTTTCTCTTTTGCATGGGAGGCATGAGGCATGCCCCGCATTTATGGTCTTGGCAGGGCTTGTTGGCTGCACCAGTGCATCATGGGTATCCTCAGGAAGTCACGTGACTTACAGTAAAGCAGTGAAGCTGTTGATGTATGTTATCTGATACTCTGTCCAACGAGGCTCCGGCGGCAGAGTGCTGCAGTGCCTCTGGAACTCGGTTTCAAACCTGCAAGAGGAAAAAACCGACATCAGGCGGGGAGGAGGCACACAAGCTCTCAGGCAGAATTAAAGTCAGTTTTAAATGGTTGCTTATCTACTTATCCCAAAATAAGAATACCATCTGTGAAGAAGCAGATTTAAGCAGACTGAGCAGGTTTTCCACAAACCCAGGAGACCTATAAATAAAAGTAACTCTAAATACGTTTCTTGATATAGTTATGATAGAATGAATGTAGATTTATTTTGTTTTGCATAGTGTGGCTGTTTGAAAAGCAACATATCTAAAGGGCAATTTAAACTGAAAATTTCAATGCACAGCAAATATTTCAATTGATTATCACTAAACTTGAATTGGGTTTATTTTGGTGCAAAAGGAAGACGTCAGAAAACTCAAAATGAATAACTTGTAACTCTTAGAGTGCCACCCTTTCACTCAGATGGCACAAATGGAAAAACAACTGCTGTTTAGCCATGGGATACCCACAAAAAAGTGAGGCTAACCAGAGAAAAGGGTTCCAATTGCCCAAGGGGGCATAAAATTGGACTGTGGGGCAATGAAAGTAGGCCTTGTGGTCTGATGAGTGATTTACTCTGTTTCAGAGGAATGGGTGCCTGAGGGTAAAAATAGTAGCAGATGAAGTGATTACCCAGCATTCCTAGAGCCTCCTCTACGGCCTGATGGGGCTATGCTCTTATCTGGGATTGCTGCAATTGGTCGGGTTGAGGTTCAGCAACATTATGTGTCCAAAGGATGAGGTCAGCTGACTACTGGAATATACTTAATGAGCAGGTAATTCCATCAATGGGTTTTTTTAATTCCCTGATTGCGTCGGCATATTCTAAGAAAAAAAATCCAGGATGAATGCATTAATCTACAATTGCGAAAGAGTGGTTATGGAAGCATGAGATACCATTTTCATGCTGGACTTTAACCCCATTGAGAATGTTTTGGATGAGCTGGAGGAGGCTTTGTGCAGTTGTTGTTCCCTACCATCATCTTGGATGAAATCTTGTGACATTACAAAAGCTTATAAACGCAGTGTGTGGGCTATCATTTCTGTTTATTTCCCACTACTCTCAGCAAAATATTACTGAAAGTGAAGCCCTGAGGCGAACATCTCCTGCCAGTGTCCAATGGGGTCATCGCATAAAGTATCAAAACTAATCATTTTGAAAAAATAACTGCAAAAAGGGGAATATAGGAAAATCACATGATAAGATCTACATGTTGCAGCAGAAGTGCTTTAAGATCAAACCCTAAACTTCCAAAAAAGCTGCGGCACGAGTTCAACATGAAGTGAAACAAAGGTGAAATAAGCCACTTGTTGTTTTTGATGTGAAACTCACAAACCGCAGCTGAGAAAGATGAAGAAAAAGTGCAATGACCAACTCTTGATTTCAAAACAAGAAAGATAAAAGAGAAACCAAATTGTCCAAATAAGAATTTTAGCAATATGTCATCTGAAAGAAGCAAAGCCTATAAACCTTTTTTACTTTCTATCATAGGTAACGATCAACTGAAGAAAAAAACATATTGTTTTGGTCGTCTTGGTTATTTTCACTGTTCAATTGCCTTGTGATACTCTGATTCATTCCTTATGTTGCCATATAAGTGTGTGTGTGTGTGTGTGTCCACACTTTGCTTTCCTGGTCCACCCAAAGATCTGTGAAATGTCTGAAGTCTCATCATGAGATAAAAACTAAATGGAGGGGAACATGCTCACATGATTGTATGTGGTCAAGATCACCAGACCAAAATGTGCCAACTCTGTTTATCACACGGGTCAAAAAACCGTTGCTATGTTTGTTTATGTATGTTTTGTCTTTTTCTTGTTGATATCTATTTTCAGCCGTATTTGCACAAGATTTCTCACCAGTCACGAATTGTATGCATTGGTCAACATACACTCGTGAGCAATATGTCAGAACACAAAAACAATGGATTTATTTTCCTAGATCTTATGATGGTCAGATGTATCTAGCCTTCTTTCTTTTTTTTTTCACGCAGCCCATTGTATTTTTTAGGGACCTTTATCAGCTCCTATAATAGGAGTAAACCTCTTCTCACTGGATAAAAACCCTCTCTGAAGCAGCTGTATGGTCCAGATTACGTAATGACGAGTTGGACAAAACAGAAATCAATCACTTCGAAAACAGCTTGTTAAAACCAAACATTTTCCACAAAAAATGTTCACATAAAACTTGAGGTTAGCTCATACAAACCTAAACAAAATCCAAAGAAAAGAGTTTCTTAAATCTGTAATGCATGCGGAATTTATGAAGAGAATTTCATTCCAAATGATTTGATCATTGCTATTATTTACTTGTTCTAGAGTAGCAAATAGTGCAGTAAAATATTTCTTTCTGTTACCTCCTTGTGCTTCAATCAAAGGCGCATGGAAAACTATTAGATGGGACAAATTGAGTTTATGTCACTGAAGTGTTTTTGTTTTTTTTTGCTTCATAAATAATTCTGATCTTATTGCCAAGAAAAGAGTTATCTTGTGTGTTGATTTATGCTAAACATAACGAGTCACAATTCTGTGTTATTATTAGACTTCCATAATAGTGTATTGGATCTAAAGGTACCTCTGTGGGAAGTTTTTCAACTCCTTAAGGCAGGAAGTGGCCACTTTCTTTTCCAGATCAGCATGTAGTTTTCCAGAGTTCAGAATTACCCCTTTGATGTTCTGGTGAGAGAAACAGACAGTTCAATTATAAAGAAACACAAGGCTCTCTGCTGCCATCACCTGGCTATATTTTTGTACTACACTAGTCACTGATGCAGTCATTTAGACCTTTCTATGTCATTTCTGTAACAATGAAGCTCACAATATATATATAAAAATAATCTAGATAAGCACATCTTGAAAGCTGTCCCACTCAAAAGTTACGGGTGAACCTTGTTCTTTGTAGAAAATACTAATATAAACAAAAGAAAGTGGTGCTGGTCCATTTTTTGTGTATACTTATATTCCTTGAATAATAAAAAATTAAATCACTTGTTCTTGTGTTTTTTTTACAATTAAAGCTTTACTATTTAAACTATAAAAAATCAAGAAAGTGGAATATGTTTAATAGAGACATACGGTCCAGATGTCCATAGGAAACTGTGACATGAGAAAGTCGTCCTCCTTTTCCGGCTCCTTTCTTTTGCTCCAAATCAATTCATTTTCCAGCTCAATGACTCTAACCAGTGTACCCCTAAAATCCTCCTGAAAGACCAAAGAAGCAGGTTGCCATCATTAAAAAAAAAAGAAGCTCATTTTGCTAGGTCCAATGGCACAATTCTCTAGAGAGCTGAAACATGTGTCCCTAAAGAATGTATATAGATTATTTATCATCCCATTGGTTTACATTCTGACTATTTATAGTGATCCTAATTAATGCGACTCCATAATGCTGCCACCACCATGCTGCTCTCAGTGTTTGGTTTTTTGACACACACAGCATTTTCCTTATGCCATTTGGAACTCTAAACATGTTTATTTTCTCTTTTTTTCACTCTTTCATGAAGTCAGCTTCCACAGTTCCCTGTATAAAATGCTTAAAAAACATATTTTGAGCTGGAGCCATGTCAAAAAATGAACTGAATTCACGCCTTTAGGAATTCATTTGAATTCAGTTCTGTATTTTTTCTGGGCAGCAGCAGGGTGCAGAAAAAGTTTGAAATTGTTTGAACTAACACTGTTACTTAGACGACTTAACATCAATCTACTTGAGTAAAAAAAAGTCTTAGGCCTGAATGTATTCTGAATGCAATTGGAATATTCATTTATCACATTTACTTACACTACTTCAACATCATTTGGAAATTACACTTTCAAATGTGAACATCCGTATTCATTTGATCACTAATAGAAATAAAATAAATAAAACTCTTTTAAAACGCAGTGTTCTCAGTGGAGTCTACAGCACTACAGGCTCACCTGTGCTCTGCAGCAGTACTTCCCACTCAAATGCTCGAGGAAGCCCTCCTCCAGCAGCAGATCTGTGCTTTCCTCCATCATGTCTGGCTGCAGGGAAAGACTTCCCATGATCTTCTCACTGTAGGAGAGAAACCGGACACCATTCACAACATTGCCGGTTGCTGCTGGGGCCTGCTGGTCCAAAGCCTGGCCTCACACCGGGATTGTGCTGAGTATCATGATTTTCTTTTTGGCTCCAATGCGAACAGATTAGGGCAGTGAAATACATGTCTATTCCTAGATTTAACACATTCATCTGTTTAAAGGGTACAAAAAAAAACTTAAGCTGTCCTCAGCCTGATAGGTTAAAGAAAAGCCTATGTTGGTCGCATTATTACCATTATTACCATGGTTACAAGTCATTAAAGGTGCAACTTACTTATTATGATAATTACTGGTGAAGCTAATTCATTCAATTTAATGCATTTTGAAAGTGGCATTATGCTGCTCTCAAAGTAGAGCTGGGAGCTTTCACGTCTTGTCTTTTTTAATCATGTCACCTATGGTTTACACTAGACTCTGTGTGCTTATGGTGATCATCAAAGCCACGCTGTATTTGAAAAGGTTCTGCGGGCACTTGGTTCACAGCAAAGCTGTGGTGTGGATAGACACATTGTGACGCAATGACGAAATTCAGCAAACCACACACCACATTCCGAGTGTGAAGCAGGCAGAAAGTACTTCATGTCACTTCATAATGGGAGACAGTAGTAGGGGAAAAGACTGGCTTGTTAAGCGTTCATGAGACATTTTGCCTTATTTCACAAAAGGGTTTTCAGAACGAAAAGAAGCAGCTGAAAATCTAATTGTGTCTGAATGAATTTCTGCATAATGTTAGCTTTAAAAAGGCCCCAGAAATGAAAATAAAGTCTGCTAGGCTGCTCCCCTGTGAAACCTTTTACTCAAGATAATCTGAGAGAAATGCGACATGACCTGATTTATATGCTTACATTCTGCCCTCAGAGAGACATGAACTTCTTCTTTTTATCAGATTGTTTATTTTTGGTCCCCCTGGTGTTGTTTTAAGCATATTTTGGGGTTTACCATGGCCTGATTAATCAAAAGATGTCAGCAGTGAGGCTCATTTTTACACTGCTTCCTTTTTTCTAGCTATTCCCAATGCTGGTGCTGCAGTCCTACATTTGCAACATTAAACCCATTTGAGTATATAGACAGGATTTATGTATACAAAAATAAACAATCCACAGTTAACTGTGGATCTGCTATATTAAATGCAATGGTATTGCTTTAAGAACCTCCAAGGACTGGTACTGTTTCACATTCAACTTATTAACATGTTAGTAAGTATTTAAATTAGTCAATGGAAAGAGGTATACAATATTTCCGATATACGGACAAGCACACGTCTTTTAAAAGATCATGTCTTAGCAACTGTGAAAGTAGTAGATTAAACACAATGCTTCCATCCACATTTTTAAAACCCAATTATTCCTAGCAGGGTCAATGGGAGTTGAAGTCTGTCCCAGCTGTAATTGGGCAAAAGCAAAACGGAGTAAGTAAACCTGAGAAAGGCCACCAGTCACCAGTCCAAAACCGAATGAGATACAACCATTCACTCTCTCTCAGAAACAAAGTTAGTCTCTAGTTAGGCTAATATGAGTTAAGCCACCTCTCAGCTGGCTTCATCATCACACAATAAATGTTTAAATAATATGATCGCCATTAAAAAAAACACCACTCCCTACACAAATGTTGGCCGGTAAAACGTGCCAGGACAAACCAACCTTTTGTATTTGTTGTGGATCCAGTCCAAAAGGTGATACAGATCTTTCAGCTCTGTTGCCTGTTGCTCCAGCTTCTTCAGGTGTTGCCCAACGACCGCGTGGTAGCTCTTCACGTAGGTGCTGAAGACTTTGAAGCTGGGCGGGTAGGACCACCGCAGCTCCCTCTTCACAATCTCCAAATCTTCCACGATCGCTTGGCCGAGCAGGCCCAGGTGAACCGCCAAGGAAGACGCTTTGTCGTTTTGCTCCTGAGGAACACCGCTCACCTTCGCCTTCACGCCCTGGCGCACCGCATCTTTCCAGGCCTCCATCCAGCTCTCCGGAAGCCCTCCCGGTTCCTTGGCTCTCTTCTCCTCCTCCTGGATGATACGGGCCACGGGGACCAGTAGGCCCTTGTTCCTGGCCGGGACGGAGTTTGAGTCGCGGACTATGGAGGTTATCTTGTTCCGGAGCTCCTCGTAGAGAATGCGGAGATCTTTCTCCTTCTTGGCCAGCTCCGAGGAATAGTTGTCAGCAAACTGCTCCAGGTCCCGCTGAAGCTCCTGCCGCATGGCCAGCAGGTTCACATAAGCCTCCTCCAGCACTTCCAGCTCTATCAGCTTGTTGATCTGCATCACTGGGGATACACAGAATATAGACAAAATCTTTCAATGTCTAATGAACATACAATGTCACTGTAATCCCTTGCATCTTCACCAATCCCATATTTCAAATTTGACTCAAAACTATTTCTGATCAAAGCCCCCATCAGCTGCTCAAACTTACACCGTTTGGAGTTTAAATGAAAAATGGAGGGGAAACGTTCTGCTTCTATGTCGAGCATGAAGCTAAATATAAACCTCTGGTTTGGATTTTAGTGATCTGAGAATTTCGTACGCTAATTTTTATTGAATATTTATTGTATAACTCACTCAATAAAGGCCGCACAGTCTTGGCATTCATTTCCATTGTGATACCACACCCATTCCTTTTCCTGGAACGTTCATTTACACTTTTAAATATTGGTTCATCACACAATCAGCATCAGTTTACATTGACACATCTTCGATTGTGTTCAGTGTTGACTGTCTTTAGTAAGATGGAAAATATTTAAGCTTGACAAATAGTTTGAGATTTTCAGCTATTTAAACCAGTGTGGACATTTTTCCTTGTAGACATTCTGAATATCCTCCTGGTCGCAACATAAAAATGTGCATATTAAGTGTGTGAGGGCAAGCAGGTACATTGTACCAATATCCATCCATTTCCCCAGTTGGGTTGGGACTGGAGTCTATCCCAGCAGACAACGGGCGAGAGTCAGGAAAGACCCTGAACAGTTTGCTTGTCCATTGAGGGGCCGCACAAAGATAAACTACGACTACAAACACACACACACACAGTCATTCCAAGGGGCAATTTGGAGTGTCCAATTAACCTAACAAGTATACATTTGGATGGTGGGATATTGATAATATCGATACCAAAGTGTCTATCGGAATCGGATCGATAAAATGGGATTGATACCTTTGTTACAGCTATTTTGTCTTCTAAAGATTCAGGAAATTACTTGAACCGATATTCATATCGCAGATAACTATCAATACCTGTATTGGCCCGTCCTGTATTTACTTGGTATTGGATCAATACCAGAATCCCAAGTATCGTCCACCCCCTGTACCTGACAGTGGTGTTGGTGGTAGTTCTTGCAGCGTGTACGACTCCTCGATCTCTCCCATTGCTGCCTCCTCATCCTCTTCTTTTTGTGTCTCCACCGAGTCTTCAATGATGGTGTTATTCTCGCTACCCACAGGTTTAATTTTTCTTTTGGACAGTCTCAGTTTCTTAGTCCAGGTTGAGCTGGGATCTGAGAATAGAAGGCACACACATTGGTCAAATCAATTTCTTTTGGTGCTGAAAAAAAAAAGTGTGTTTAAACAATTTTATAGTATCTTCTCGATCATTATAGGTTATATTTGGTTTAAACTTTTACAACTGTAAAATGAGATGAGATAAGTGTTAATATGGGCCTTTCACAGTGGACATCTTACATTACATTTACATTATATAAATTTACATTGATAGATGTGTAAGAAAAAAAAACTGGACATAGACGTTAATAATACTCTTAATTCTACTTGTGAAGACAACATTTTTATTGCTGGTCCTTTTTTCCTTGTGTAATAGTTTTGGAAACACATTTGTGACATGCTTGCACTGCAGTGTGTGTGGAAAGAAGGTGGAAAGTACCGCAACATCAGAAAAAAAAAGCAATCCTGCTCTGCTGCTGCAGTCAGACCGGTCCTCTCCACCGGTCTTACCAAAAGCCAATGAAAATGTTGCTAACAAGGAAGGTGCATGGCAGAAATCCGTGACAGAAAAGCAGACTGCTGCTACTCAGGCTTAATAAAGGGCTGTTATCAAATGGATAGTCCAACAACCAATCAGGGTTTTCGACTATGTACTAAGGGCCAGACACAAGGAAAATAAAATATGAGCATGTACCGGTACTGGTCTAAATACAAGTGTGATGAACTTAAACATGTCTTCTCATCATTACTGGTCACTCAGGTCCTTTGTGATAAGATCGCTGTACCTGTATTTGAACGAGTCAGTTGTGTGTCTCCCTGTGGTAGCGTATCAGCGTGATCATCCGTCTTTTTCTTAAAAAAATTCGGGAATATCCCAGGTAGTGAGCTGGTACTCAGGCCTGATTAAAACAAAACACAGACAACCCCATCACCAACAACATTTCTCATTTGCATTTACAAGCGTGCATGCGACTTGGCAAAATTTTGTCCCAGATGAACTCATGTTGAAGTTTAGATGGCTGTATTTTCTCATTTCCGCCAACAGAACAAAATACAAGCGTTCGCTAGAATTTCAGTTAATGTCCGATTCCTAAAAAGTTCATTTCAGAGTATCCTGAGCTATCTTATTTGTATTGGATTAAAGATGTTGGAGAGGTAATAATGAAGATAGAATGGAACCAGTGACTTGGCTTTTACTTTGAATGTATGTCAGAAATAATGGACTATATATAAGAGAAATAATGGAATATTTATAAGAGAAATAATGGACTATATATAAGAGGAATGATGGAATACATATACGACTATGTCAATCATGGAAAGCATTTGAGATCGCTGCAGGGCAGATAAGGCTAGCAATCCCATCTTTAAACTTTAACACAATTGGAAAATCTATCTGATAGCAAAACTACGGGGGTTGGCTATGGGATAGATTGCCATTATGTGTCAGATTTCCTGTTGAACTCAATTGAAGATCTGTAAGCTTTTATCATAACAGTGCAGCATATCCTATTCTACTCCTGTAACTATCAGTGATGTCATCTTCTTCCAGCTAATTGTATAACTGGATACTAAAAGGTTATCCGATGGTCTATAAGAGCAGATGTTATAACACATTTCACTCAGAAAGAAGGACCTGTCAGAAAAACTATGGATGAATGCAAAAGACTACAAAACAAGGACAGGTTAAATTTGCAGACAAAACATGAGCAGTATTTTATATATCTAGGACTTAGTTCAATAAGTTATTCTTTACTATGTGAATTTGATTTTATATATTCAAACTGTAATCATCAAACTATGTACTTTTGTATCTTGCAAAAGTTTGCCGATTGGTATTATTCTAAATATTACTCTTGATTTAGGATTGTGCACTGTATGAGCGTGAGTGTATCAGTAACAGTTAATAATTAATCATCAATTGGAGTGACATTGAACAAAAATCCAAATTAAATCCAGTGCAAAATACACATAGGAATAGTCTGTGCTCACTCCATTAAACCTAGTGGAGAGTTTGAGAACTGACACGTTGGCAAGCTTCATTATATAATATAGCAAAGACTTTGCTACAGGAATGAGCACAAGAGAGCTAATAGTTCCAATAAGTTCTTCTTTTTGTGGGTTAAGTATTTAAAATAAATTCATTTTCACTCATTAAAACGCAAAAGCAAATTATCAGACTCTATTGACCTTTAGAGGGCATGTTATTGCACTTGTCAGCAAAATCCATTTCACAGTAGAATTCATGATATCTGTTTTGATACTCACTGGGTGAGGGAGGTGGAATTGGTGAGGTTGATCCCGTCTCACTGCCGGTTGTGTCTTTCTTGGGCGTGACCTCAGAATCTTTGCTTTTGGGCGACAGAATACCTTTTACCTTAACCCGCTTCATACTCTCTCTGAAGGTTCTCACAAGGCCTTGCGTTTCCTTCTCGGCTCCATTCGAGTTCACCTTCCCATTGCTCTGGTGAACCACCTTGTCATTCTGCTGGTTTTCCACCTCCATTACGCGTATATCTTAATTGCTTAAAATCTCCACACTGCGACTGAAAATACAAATAAATAAGCATGGGAATAAGCAAAAAAAGATCAGAATAAGAAAAGACTGCTTGCACTGTGGTCAGCGGCAGTAGGTGACACACTAAAGTAGTGTTTAGCGTTCTTGTTTATGGTCTGCAGACGGGGACATGTGGCTCCGTCTTGTTTACAGATAACACAAGATCCAGTCTGTGTAGCTCTGATAACAAGCTGCTACAAGCTGTGAGATTGTCTGCAACAGAAAAATTAAGAGCCGCACTAAATATCTCAAGTTGATTTTTCAACGTCATTTTCAGTTCTGCTAGTAGTGTACAGGTGGACTGCTATCAAAAAAGGATTTTGTGAACATTTTAATATTGCGCAAGTAAGTGGATTATGTTTCAAGAGCTGAGGAGGTGGAAAAATGCTGTTAATCCATTGGTGTCATAATAAAATCATAATAAAGTCATAAACTGGGTCTTGAGATAAGCAGAACACCAAACATATCAAGACTGTTGCAATGATTTGATTTTTTAAATGACTGTAAAAGACACAAGATTAACATAAAAGATCAAATGCACGAAAAGGAATACTCCTAGAAGAACTAGAAGGAAGAAGTGGTAGACTGCCCACAAGAAGTAGGAGTCAGTAGTCCCACAATTTCTCAATAAAACTGTGTTTTTCTACAATGATATATCTTTGCCATTCAAAGAGGGAGGAAAAAAAATACTTTTAATTTGTGAGAAGACTTCTGCAGTGCTTGTAATCATAGCCTTATAACAAATCTTTATACATTTTATTGTGTCAGGTTTTGAGCTAGGGGAAATTTTGACTGAGCCACACTGTCCCTCAAAGATTAGGTATCATTTTCAGTAAATTAGGTATATACTGTATATGACAAATATCAATGTACATTTTTTATATGTTTATGCATTTATCCAAAGCAACTTAAGATGCAGATATGACATTAGCGTTGACATAAAATACACTAATGTATTAGGGCATAACTAGTCACACTGTAGAGATAGAGGGAAGTACATAAAGAGAAAGTGTAAGCGTAGGGTCTGCCGCCTGTCGAGCTGGCTCTTCGAGATTTTCTTGAAAACTATGTTGTACAACAAGTTCAAGAAAAATTGGACCCAAGTAAGGAGTTATTATTTGATGCATCGGAAAAAACAAGCCGGTTTGACCTGAGAAGACAAAAGGTCTACAGGTAAAAGGTGGACGGAACCAGCTCTTGGGGGCCCCCTGGTGGCCAGAGGGCGCTAAACACTCACTTAGAACGCTTGTGTCTTTGGCAGGATCTTGTAAATACACCACGTAATTATACATATATCTTAAAAAAATACATCTTTAAATTACACGTAACTGTTCTTAAAACGTCTCTCACACATTGCAAATGAAAGACATGTCGCCTCATAAAATGAAAGACAAGGGCAAAATGATCAAGGTTTGTCGCGACCGTCACCACGACATAATATTATAATATAATATATATAATATAATATAAGAGCTATATGCGGAACAAGTAATCATTGGCTTTGGGATAAATCTGAGCCCAGGATCATATAGCCAGAACAGAACGCCGAAAAAGGAAAACAGGTACCTTACCTGTAGATCAGAGCTCAGGTGAGACCCGTATGAGAGAAGCGTCCGAGCTTTCCTCCTCATTTAGGCTATATAGCTTAAACAGAGCCTACACTTTCACTTTCTCTGCGGTTGCCAAAGGCGTTTATAAACAGACCACTCGTCCGCCAGGTGAGGTTAAAAAAAAAAAAGCGCAAAAAGAAGCGTTACAAAAAAAATCAGGTGCGCAGAAAAAAGGTGGCCACCTACTCAAAGTGTGACGACACGACAGAGATCGCCGCCGTAGGTTATTGTTTCATGTGCCAAAGAGCAAGTGAGTTAATGGTTAAACAGAAGTAAAAATTAATCGGGAATGGAGAGAGACGCTTTTTCAGTGACGCGTTTTCTGGACACACAAAGGGCCTTTCACTCCTTCGTAAATCAGGATCTGTTGACAGGTCGACTTTTTGCATCTGGAATTTGACATTGAAACAACCAACCTAAGAGCCTAATAATCTCTTTATTCTAGTCGCTACTCTATATGTAAGGATTTCTATGTTAAAGGCAGCGCCTCACGTTTTATTTAAAGCACAAGGAAATAAGTCCACAGTCACTTCTCAAGAAGTGAAAACTTAAGCAAGAAATCCACTGGGCAACATTTATCTGTATGTAATAAGAGTAGCAGATATATGTCGATAATTAAATTATAGGGACATTTTCAGCTTTAATGGCAATATAAAGAAAACCGAGAATGTAGCAGAATAAAAAAAAACAGCTGTCCTATATTTTATCATACTCAAAAGGGGTGTACATATCTGTAAACACATTTATTTTCGGGGAAATAAAGGCTGTTGTGTTACAGGCTGAGGAGGAATTCATCTCAAGTGGAATTTTGTTCAGTCTAATTACTTTCTGAGTTCAGTTTTTTTTTTTCAACAAGGCTGGAAAGTGCTACAAAGCTCCCAGTGTGTGATACAGTGTCATGTCATTAAAAGTAATATCTTTTACACTGGTTCCAAAGCAGTGTGCCATCTGTTAATGAGACCTCCGAGTTTCTTCTCTTCTACAAATAACTTAATTAAAACCTCTCCTCCCCAAACAAAAACAAAAAGAAAAACGCTAGGATGGCTTCGGGCATCTTTGAAAACTCCCTAAAATACACATGGACTGTTTCACAACTCACAAGTTAATTACCACTGATCCATTGAACACAGATTATTCTGTCTTTACATAAAACTGTTTCATTGATTGATTGAAGTAATAAGAGTTTACTGACAGTCCTAATAACATCTGTCTTGTCGTCCACTGACACTAGATGGCACTATGGACTACATTTACCTCAGCCCCAAACATTGTTGGCGTTTTTATATTGGTTTCAGTTTCAGTCTTTGCTGTCCTGAAATGAATTAAACTCTGAATGTGATCAACACGAGTTTTTAAAATGTTGTTTCTGCTTTTCGTGTGGGTGAATCTGATGTGCAAAATGAACCTTTCAAGTCCATCTGAATGGCGACCTGACAGAGCAACAGCTCTCTCCTCTCTGTTTGTGCTCGTTCAGGAGTCTGTTTGTGTGTGGAATAGTTGGTGCGGAGATGTTAGAAGTGTAGAAATGAAATGAAAACAGGGCATGTAGCTACAGTGTCAAGAATAATTTAAAAGAACCTTTTCTGTGAATCCATGTTAATCTCTATATTGTAATGTCCGCAATATCATTTTCAACCTCAAAGCATTCATACATCAGCTGCTACCACAGAAAAACATTGATCAATGTTCATATGGATATCTCGATGTGTAAAAATTACATTTTTGATGGATTATCAGAAACAGCTGCCTCAATCACATCAGCATATTCTTTAATAATGATCACCCAAATCAAGCTGTCCTTGGGCAAGAAGTGGCTTATACCCTGGTTTATCTCACCCATTTTCACAAATCCAAAGCATAATTCCTAGCTGGACCATAGCTTATTAATACATTTTTGTTTTCCAGTGACACAGGCTGAGACAGTACATTTGCATATTTACTCTTTTATTTTCACCCTCATTGCGGTTTCCCACCTCTCGGCATCCTTTATTCTACTGATAGTGTCGTGAATTTGCTCGGGTTGTGTCTACAGTCCAGGGTTTTTTTCTTCTATGCAGCTGCTTAATTCAGCAGCAGCTCTGCACAATGGCTTCTATTAAGCATGAGCATTAGATTGGTGTTGTATGATGAATAGAAAAAGCCGTGGTAAGAGTGGCGCATGTGTGCAAAACCAGATGTTCACAGCAGGCCAGGCTCTAACGCAGCCCAATGAAAGCCTGTGCATCCCATTGACCAAACTAAACAGATTATTTGGAGATATATATTGGAGAGAGAGAGAGAGAAAACTGGCCCTGACATATTTCCTCTGGTGTCCTTTCATTCAAATGTTCTCATGTCTGTTTAGTTGATTGGCATTTTGTTACCACAGCAACAACTGCAACCGACGGGTAGTTCCACTAGTCAGTGAAAAAGTTAGAGGAGTAAAAACAACATTGAATGATATACACTGAAATTTTGCACACATCTGAGAAGTGAAACAACTAATTTCCATATATTTACCAAGTCCATATTATTTAGAACTGTACGGCAATAAAAGGTTCAAGTCAGTCCCACAGTATACCAGACATTAAAAAATACAGATACACATACAAACATATGTACAAAGATATAAAAAAATAATATAGATATTATCAAGCAAACTATATTATATTAAACAATCATGCAAGAGTCCTATGTGCATCCAACAAGTCTGATAGTAATAGTTACAACACATAAACTATTGAGAAGAATGCAACACAATACCACACACATGTACACACACGGTTGTTGGCTTGGGAGAATATGAAAGATTTGAGTTTGCTTTAGAGTGGAGACCCAGTAAGAACTGACCTCAGGTCAGAAAGCAGCTTGTTTAGAGCTGCACACCATAAACTGAGAGCAGGCTCAGCTTACTTTAATCTGAGAACAGCTAAAAGGTCTGCAACGATGACCTTATTGGGCGAGAGACTGCGAATGTGTCAGAGTTGCTCTCAAGATCAAGCATTAAGTAGTATATGGTGTGTGGACGGGATTTGAAATGAATTCTTTACTGAGCAGTTGAAGGGGCTTCAGCAAGGGGGTAAAATGTCTCATTTCCATGTGTGCTTAGCTACTCTGACGGCTGCATTTGGAATGAGTTGAAAGTTGTTGTTTTTTTTAAGATCCTGCCAATGCATTCTTGCAGTAGTCCCTCAGTATAAATACACAAACCAATCTCCTGGAGTCAAAATGGAATGTGACTTTTATAACGCTGGGAAATCCTGGAATCCTGCGATCATCAAGAACGGCTTTATGAATTCATAGAACCACATCAAAAATGCTGCCAAGGACTGTCTCACTGTGTTATAAGCTATGAACTGATTTTCTGACTCTGACTATTCAGTCCAGCTGCCTTGTTTCTTCCTAACTTTTAAATGTTTCTTCACACCGAGCGAGACATGTCATCAAAACAATTGGCAAAGTAAAATGATATGGATCATATCAGCTGCATATGAATGAGAAACTCTCTCTCTTTGCTAATTTAAAACGACCGACTGAAACACAGAGGAAAACTCCTGCCATTTAGGTATGATGAATACCAATTAGGAACCTGGCTTGTTAAACCAACTGAATAATGGATTTGAATGTCATTATTAACAGTGTCATATGCAGCAGTGCGATGAAGCTGAAATAAAATGGAGATTCTCTTTGAGTTACCGTGGCTCATGAGTGATTTAAAGGGCTGTTTCTGCACCATGGTCGGTGAATACTGTCATTCAAAAAGATTTGCCTGCTTGGAAATAGATTGACGCAGAGATGGTTTACCACTGGAAGCTGCTCATCAGATCACTCCATCAGGTGAATGCTTCCTCTTATTTTTGTTTTGCATGTCAGAGTGTGGCATGCAAATTTTTTGCAAAATCTGCTGGGTGGAAAAAAACAAAACCAAACAAAACCCAGATGGGTTACCTATTCAGAAAATCCTATGATATGAAACTGACCAGTCCACCTGTTTGCGATCCCAGTGTATTCACGTTATAGGACCTTCGCCTTTTAACACTGATTTTTGTTTGTTGTTTAGTATTTTACGAAGAAACAAGATTTACAAGAAACTGCTCCTTGATATTCTGAAATGACTGAATAATTTCTACTACCATTAAAAAATGCTCATAGCCATGCTGATGGGTTAAAGTGTAATGCATAAATGAATAACAGCAAACAGATGTAAGTTGAATATGATATTTATTGGACAAAGTCACCTAGAAATGACGTTTTAAATACTGTATGTATTTAAAAAGCTGGTGCTTTTGGGATGGTACCCATCATTCTTCTTCCTCCAAGCACGGTTAGTGGAATTATGACCAAAAAGTTCTATTTTGGTCTCATCGGACCACATGACTTTCTCCCCTGACTCCTCTGGATCATCCAAAATGGTCATTTGCAAACTTAAAATGCGCTGGTTTAAGCAAAGGAAACCCTTTCTGTGCCATGCATGATTTCAAACCGTGACATCTTCATTGAGACCCCACGAGGTGCCCCAGTCCGAGGGAGATTGACAGTCATGCTTAGCTTCTTCCATTTTCTAATGATTGCTCCGACAGTGGACCTTTTTCACCGAGCTGCTTGGCAGTTTCCCCGTAGCCCTCTCCAGCCTTGTGGAGGTGTACAGTTTGGCCTCTAGTGTCTTTGGACAGCTCTTTGGTCTTGGCCATGTTAGTAGTTGGATTCTTCCTGATTGTACGGGGTAGACAGGTGTCTTTATGCAGCTAACGACCTCAAGCAGGTGCATCTAATTTAGGATAATAAATGGAGGTGGACATTTTTAAGGCAGTCTAACAGGTCTTTGAGGGTCAGAATTCTAGCTGATAGACAGGTGTTCAAATACATATTTGCAGCTGTATCATACAAAGAAATAGTTTTAAAAAGTCATACATTGTGATTTCCAGAGACCCCTCCATGATTTCTAAGTGGGGGAACTTGCAAAATAGCAGGGTGTTTAAATACTTATTTTCCTCTCTGTAGGTGATCTCCAGTTTGCTTATTCATATGTCATTTACAGCTAAAGGAGAAAAAAACATCTTAAAGTTTATAAGCCGGGAATTTCATATAGGATTCCATAATTTCTGAAGTTCCAATTTGGGAAAGCCTTCCCATATATATATATATAAAAAAAGACTTGCTACATGTACTATTACATAAGGTAATGTGTGGCTGATTCAAAAAGCAGATGAAAGTGAAAGCTGCAAGGCAGAGCAAGCAGAAGAT